AAACGGTCTGACCGAGATTCCTGGCTCGCTGCTGCTGGCACGCTGCGGTCCGTGACCCACTAGGTGAGGCCCCAGGGGTGAGCTGGTTGGAAGGCAGAGCGGCGCGTGGAGGGATGCCTGGGTGTGCACGCCTCTCACTCTCGCATCTGCACGCCCACACGTGTGCTGCAATCGAAACGGAAGGCTCCACTCGTACAGCAAGAATCTTTGTTTCTCATGGAAGTTCTGTGTTGCCGCACAGATTTTAGCAAACGATATAGCCTGGCCAGTTTCTCACAAGGACAGGAAGCATTTGTCCAGAGCCCTCTGAGTGCCAGAGCCCCTATTAGGTGCTGGGTTACGGAGCTTTCTCAAGGTCACACAGCTGCCACCTGACTGAGTGTGAGTTCAGATTCAGGTATATCTGTCTCTTATCATTTCACTCAGTCACAGCCAAAGTTGGTCTTACTTTACTGGGGAGCCTAAAAAAAATAAAGCTAATGGGATTATTTGGACCTCAGATTAAATCTTATCGAATGCTAACAGCACTATCTGCCAGTTTTCCCTTTCATGTAAGCCAAAAGGTGTGCAAGCATGGTATTTGGGTGTTTAAAAATCAGAAATGTGCAAACGGATCTCAACATCATGCCCTGTCCAGTTCTTGTAGTTTTCTTGTTGTTTTCAATCTCTAGCTGTTACAAATCTGCAGTGTAACTATGAATATGGGTGCTGGGTCACACACTGTGTAGAAGACATGTATTCCCTGGTGTCAAGTACATCCACTGCAACCCCTACTTTCGCCTCAAATAACACAATGAAAGCTGTCCACCATCACCTTTAAAATCCTCTTCCATCCTTGAGGTTGAAGAGGAATGCCTTGGAAGGCATTATTTGGATTTCAATGTGAAAGAAAAAGCCCTTTATTTTTTCTTTGCCATTAGACAAAGAATGACCCCTCTTTTTTTCTGTTTTCAGAGTCTCATTTCTTTTTTATTTTTTAGCGGTCTTCATTGTAGCCAATTCTTGGCCTTGTTTTTCCTTAGAACAAATTGAGGTAGGAAAATATGACCAAGAATGAGTCTTATCAGAGAAACGTGGAGGAAAATCTGTTTCGAACTCTATTCGTAACAGAATAAAATTGACCAAATTCAAAATCATATTTTGGCTTTATCTACAGGAAATTATTACAGCTAATCAAAGCAAAAAAAAAATACACAAATAATTACAATACCTAAACATCAGAGCAACCTAAATCTCCAACAGTATGCAACTGGTTAACTAAAATATGGTGAATACTTAAAATGGAATAGTATAGAACCATTATAAAGCAAGTTAAAAAAAATTTTTTTGAGACGGAGTCTTGCTGTGTTACCCGGGCTGGAGTGCAGTGGCGTGATCTTGGCTCACTGCAACCTCCACCTCCTGGGTTCAAGCCTTCTCCTGCCTCAGCCTCCTCAGTAGCTGGAATTACGGGCACACACCACCACACCCGGCTAATTTTTGTATTTTTAGTAGAGATGGGGTTTCACCATGTTGGCCAGGCTGGTCTTGAACCCTTGACCTCAAGTAATCTGCCCACCTCAGTCTCCCAAAGTTCTGGGATTTCAGGAGTGAGTCACTGTGACCAGCCAAAGAAATAGTTTAATGATGTATTTTTCACTTTTTAGAATACCAGTTCTTTCTCTCTTTTTGTTAGCATGTTATTATTTTGGCAAATTCTTATCCTCATTGTATTTTAGGACAAAATTGAATGAAATGAGAAGGGTTACACAAAATTGATTTTGAGCAGAGTGACAAAGGTAACCAGAAGTTAGGTGGCAATAGGGTGGTCAAGAGTTTAGGAAACACTTTACATTCTAATCAGATAAAGCAATATGTAAATGTACTGAGAAATTTAAAGACATACAAATCATTCAGCATGTTAAGGAAAAATCAAGTGCAAATGAAAACAGGAATGGTTAGAGTACATTGACTGAGCTCTTTCTCCATGCTAAGCATGACTCGAAACACTTTAATTAAATTGAAATATTCCTATTATTATTCCTTTTGTAAATCTAAGTAAACTGGGGCACGGGGAAGCAGAGTAACTTGCCCTGAGGTCACACAACAGCCTGGGAATGGTGGAGAATATTCCTTCTTTTTAATTACATTCTTCACAAAAGAATAGAATAGATTTTTTTTACCTTACGAGGATTTGCCTCTCCAAATGTAACAAAATGGAAGGCTGCATTTCAAATTGGTCCATATGTTCTTGACAACAGTTTCTAGCTTTAGCAAGAATACTGGAAGCATGTGTTAAAAATGCAAAATTCTGAGCCCCAGATCAGACATACCTAATGTAAATAAACAGGACGGTAGAGCTCCCAAATCAGTGTTACAGTAAGCTTTCTAGGTGACTTCAAAGTGGCGAGCTATGATTTGGACACCACTTTGTGCAATGATAAGATTCGTCTGGGATGCTTATGATATAGACAGTTTCCAAGCGCCTCCTCTAGAGACTTGATTCAATGTGTTAGAGACGGGACATGGAAACCTATATAACTTTAGCTCAGGTAGTATCTGTAAATCTGTGTTGGATCGTACGGGGCAGTCCTGATGTATGCTGTTGTCCAAGCATAAGTGTTAAGAGCACTCCCTCTCAAGTTCAAAATTGTCTCGGTTTGAACAATTAGATATATGCTTAACTAGGACCCCAGGAGATTTGTATCCACCAGACTTGGATACGAGCTTGGGAGGCCCTGCTCTTGAAGAACGTCAGTGACTTGGGTCTAATTGCCCTCAGTCATTTTACTAGCCGAGTAGCCTCAGGAAAGTTATTTAATGTCACTGGCGCCTCCATTTCCTCACCTGCAAAATAAATAGAAGGACTCTCAACTCCTGGGCTGTTGAGCAGTATAAATGCATTTTTCATCCCTCCTAGAGAGGCTTAGAAGGTTGCAGCAAACACCAGCTCCCATCTTCTAGGGAGCGTCAGGAAATTCCTCGGAACAGCTCTTGGAAGCCTCTTCAAGGTCACGCTCACAGAGTTTCTTTTAACTGTGGTGAGCAAATGACACTGGACCAGGATCTAGTGAGCAGGTAGTCGCATTTCAAAGTTTTCAGAGGATGCGTCAATTCAAACAGCAAATTGATTTCACCTAGGAAGCCCAGTTTTGCTTTTAACTGTCAGCCACACCCTGAGGTTGTCTATCAAGAAAAAACAGAGAGTGCAGGGGAAGGTGGGGGGTAGTCAATAAACCATTTAGAAATTTTCAGACCTGTTACCAAAGACAGACAAATCTGCCATGCTGTTTGTAGCAGGAAGAATTCTAATAAATAATCCAAAGAGAGGTATAATCCAGATGACATTTCACAGATTATTGATTGAAAAGTCAGGAGTGTGCTAATATAAATGGTCTTTACCACAAAATTTGCATTCACGACAATCACTTTAGGTGTCTACAAGCCAAGGAAAGTATCGATGCAACTGACACAAATAATGTTACAGACCAGGCAATCTGTTTTCAAGCAAAAGGAAAAAAGTTTCCATTTACGATTATGGTTGGTATGGTGGTGTGTGTAATTTTTTGTCGACTCCACGGAACACTTCAAGGGTTATCTGCACAGATGTGAGTTTCAACAATATGACACATTTGCCCAGTTCCAAATGTGCTTGTTGCATCCTTTCTGAAGAGGCAATTTACAGCCTAGATGCTTAAGTCAGATGTTAACATAGGAAGTCCTCTTCTGTGCTGCGAGCCACTCATGGCCACTCGTGGGAAAATAACCAGCAGGAGAACTGGAACATACACTCAGATTTTTTTTGGAGAGGGGGGCTGATTAGATCCTTCAGGCAGAATTTTCCATAATCTTAGATTTGTGATACTGGGACACATTTCTTTCATGGAGGATACAATGTCACTCAAAGGGACCTGAATGCCTCTTTGCGTCTGTACCTCATTCACTTGTTCTGACAAGTCTTAACTTTCTCTTGTCTTCAACACGGTCTCCACCTAGCTGACGTGACTGTCAGCTAGTGTCAGGAGGAGTTTTTTTCTGTAAGAACCTCATATTTCTAACATTGATGAAAAAACTACCTAACCAACATTTGCACAGCTTACTCTTTTCAAGCAATCAATGGCATGGAGAGGAATTTAATTGTAAGAACAAACACTTCGGAGCCCAGGAACCCCATGAACTCTTAATGAGTTTCTATTCTGGTTCTGCTATTCATGGTCCACTTGATCTGAGCAACTTCTTTAATCTTTTCTAAGCCTTGCTTTTTACATCTGTATTTGGGGTTTGTAACATGACCCACCTCACAGAGTTCTAATAGGCGTACATAGTAAGACATTTTGTATTATACCTGTTGCATGGTTGGCATTCGATAAATGTTAATTTTATTATGATGCTGGGGATGATGGTGATGATGGTGATGGCGACGGTAATGGCGATAGCGATGGTGTCGGTGATGATGATGCTAATGGTGATGTTAATAGTGATGGTGATGGTGACAGTGGTGCTGGTGGTGACGGTGACAGTGGTGATGGTGACAGTGATGGTGACAGTGATGGTGATGGTGACAGTGGTGGTGATGGTGACAGTCATGGTGATAGTTATGGTGATAGTGATGGTGACAGTGATGGTGACAGTGATGGTGATAGTGATAATGATGGTGATGGTGACAGTGGTGGTGATGGTGGCAGTTACAGTGATAGTTATGGTGACAGTGATGGTGACARTGATGGTGATAGTGATGATGGTGATGGTGACAGTGGTGGTGATGGTGACCGTCATGGTGATAGTTATGGTGATAGTGATGGTGACAGTGATGGTGATAGTGATAATGATGGTGATGGTGACAGTGGTGGCGATGGTGGCAGTTACAGTGATAGTTATGGTGACAGTGATGCTGATAGTGATAATGATGGTGATGGTGACAGTGGTGGCGATGGTGGCAGTTACAGTGATAGTTATGGTGACAGTGATGGTGACAGTGATGGTGATAGTGATAATGATGGTGATGGTGACAGTGGTGGTGATGGTGACCGTCATGGTGATAGTGATGGTGACAGTGATGGTGACAGTGATGATGAGGATGATAATGATAATGATTATCTGCCCAGGAAATTTAGGGCCACCTCTTCTAATCCTTCCCAAACAAATTTTAGAAAAGAGACTCAGGAAGTTTTGGAGAAGTGTTTAAAAGGTGGGGGCGGTGAGATTTAAGCCCCTTTAACTGCCTGATGCTGCAGCCCCTCCTGGATGTCTTTACTTGTGCAACACTGTGAAGACACACCTGAATGTGAACCCCGAAGACGCTGGGGAGCAAGGAAGGCCCTCTTTCTCCGTGAGGGGTACTTGTAGAGCAGATTCAAGATAGAAAGTGAGGCAGGCTGTGTAGTGGCAGTGAGCTTCTGAGTGGAAGGGTGCTTATTGGGACCCTGGGTGTGCCACCTACCTGCAGGGTGACTTTGGGCAAGTCCCTGAACTTCTCTGAGATTCAGTGTTACATACTCAAAATGGGGCTAACTAATTGTAATTTTCTCACCACATTTTGAAGATCAGAGAAACACGTCTATGTTATCTACAATCAGTGTGTAGGTGCCTAATAAAAGGCAATGATACATTTTGCTGTTGTTACAGTGGTTGTAGCAGCAGCAATAGCAGTGGTTGAGAGATCACATCACCTTCCGTCTGGCTGCTAAGTGTACAAACATCATCCGTGTTCTGTTCATTCTGCCACATCCAATCCACCAGCAAGTTCATTCATTTTCTCTGCAGGATAAGTCTCAAATCTAACCCTGATCTGCAAGTCACCCATCAGGATCTGGTGGAAGTGGCCATCTCTTGCCTTTATTACTGCCACAGCCTCCTCACTGATCTCTCTGCTTCCAATCTTCCTTCCACCTTCCAATCCACTTTATGCACCATAGCCAGAGTTACATTGTTAAACTGCAGAAAAATCATGACACTCCTCTGTTAAAAACTCTTCAAAAGCCAACCTAATAAGAATAACTGATAAACAGTGGTGTGCTAGAAAATGCTGAACTATATGGTCACTCCAGGGGTGAGGAAGAACCCTGATTCCTAGCATCTGCCAATTCCTGTGGTGTAAATATTCCACCATCACTAATTTGAAACCAGGCTACCAAAGAGGTATGAGTTGAGAAGAGATGCAGGAAGTTGGCTTTCAGGAGCTGGTTCCAGCATCTCACTGAGTAGTCGTTGAGTTTCCAGCATCTCACTGAGTAGTCGTTGAGTTTCCTCTGTACTAAGCTAGGGCTTCTATTTCACAGCATGATCTCATTTAATTCTCACCATAGCTGTGTATAAGACAGGTGCTTTTGTTGTCCCTGTGATACAGATGGAGAAACTGAGGCATGGGCCATCTGGCTCCAGCACCTCGCCACACCGTATTGCCTCTCTTTGTTGTGCTTAAAATAAAATCCAAACTCCTTATCTTGTTGACAAGACCCAGAACCTGTACCTGTGTTCTTCCACCATCATTGTGTGCCCATACCTACCCCTACACTCTGCTCCATCATGTCTGGTTCTTCCTGGTGCAGGCCTGCTTTCATGCTGCAGGCCTTCATCCCTTTGTCCCTCTGCCTGGAAGACTCTTCTCCAGCTCTTTGCATAGCTGGTCCTTCCTCATCTTGAGGTCCCATCTTAAACATCACCTAGCCACCCATCTTTGTCTCTCTTGTTGTCCTGTTTCTATCCATCCCAGAGTGTATCACACCCACTTAGTGATTTAGTTATTTGCCTAATGGTTCAATAGTGGCTCCCAGGGGAAGATGAGGAGTGAGGAGGCGATCGGCTTCCCAGGGGACATCTAACAATGCCTGAAGACGTTTTTCGTCATCACAACTCAGGAGGGGTGGCTGGTGGGTTACTGGCATCCAAGAGGTCAAGGCCAGGGACGCTGCTCACCACCCTCCAATGCATAAAGTACTTGATGTCTTCTACCACTTTCAAGGTAGAGATCCCACTCTGTGACTTTGCATATAAAGTTGTCTGTGATTTAGCCCTTAAATGCCCCACCACAAAGAATTACCTGATCCAAAACGCCAATAGTGGAGTGGCAAGGCTGAAACATTTTGCTGTTGGCTGTTTTTCTCTCCCTGCTAGAATGCAAATTCCAGGAAGGCATGGCCTTGACAACTTTGTTCTCTGCTGTATTCCCAGTGCCTGGCACACAGTAGGTGCTTTAAAACCACGTGTTACATGACTAAATTAAAAAGTAACGGTACTGCCAATCATCATCACTGTAACAATAATAACGAGGCATCTTTTTGAAGAGATGCCAAAGTGTTCAAGGCAGGTAGGAAGAGGTGGAGAAGGTGCTGCTCTCCTGTTCTCTCTGCTTAGCACTCTTTTTGGCCCAAAGACAGGGAAGGAGGGGCAGGCACTTGATAAAATCACCTCCTCCTCCATCCCTGACCTCCCGGAGCAGCCGTCCACTAAGTGTTGCACTTGGCTACAGTTCCTCTTAGTAATTTGGTTAATTGGATGAACAGGCACTTTAGTGACACAGACTGGATTTCCACGCCGCAGTCCATCAAAACTAATCAGTTGGCTGTGTTCCATTTCTCAGCAACTGACAGCTTTGCCAGGATGGTGGTAGATGGTAACTTTTTAAATTGAAGAACTTGCTAAATAATGGCAGTTAGAACTTGGCAGGATGCTTTCAGAGGGGAAGGGGAGACAAGAAATCCAGTGTTGGCTTTGCTTTCCCTCAAAGAGATAATCTTGTTAAGGGGCCGGCTGATTAAAAGTTTCTTCCAAAGACAGTGGTGAAAAGTAATCATCTTCAAATTGTACTTTGTTTCTTTTGTGTAAAAAGTAATTGCAAAGCTTGTGTACTGCATTCTTCCTTTCTAAGATGTTTATTAACAATTAACATTGTTATTTTTATATACTGTATGACTAATACTAATGTATTGTCTTAGTTAGAATAGTACCGGCTACTATAAGAAAACAAACCTCAAAATTTTAGTGGCTTAACACAAGCTATCTCAATCCCCTCAGAGTCCAGTCTGGAGTTTCTGGTTAGAGTGTCTCTCTTCCATGCAGTGATTCAGGGACCCAGGTTGGCTGTCTTCCATGCAGTGATTCAGGGACCCAGGCTTCTTTCATCTGTGGGCCTGTTATCCTCTAGGGCCTCAATGGCATCTGTCCCTAGCCAGCAAAAGGAGAAGAAGGGCATGGAGAAGGCACACTCAATTTTTAAAAACCTTGACCCAGAAGTGATGTACAATATTTCTATTCACATTCCTTGAGTAAGAATAGTCATATGGCTATCTCTGGCTACAAAGAGGACTGATAAATGTGTCCCTTCTGAGCCATAACTCCATATCATGGAAGAGAGAACATGAGCTTTGATGGCCAACTAGCCATCTTGGCCACAGGTGGACAGCTCACCCACACAACCCTATGAGAAATTAGGATTTCCCCTTCCCTTAAACAAGAAAAGTGAGGCTCAGATGTGGTAAGCAACCGATGTATATTTATGTTCTTAGCAAGGAGCCAAGTCAAGAGTTGCATGTGTATAGATTATAAAGCCTGTATCTTCCCTCTTTCCCTCTTTTCTCCCTCCCGTCCATCTCTCTCCCATCTGTTTTTCTCCCTCAATTCTTTTGTTTACTCTCTTTTATCATTCTAAACCTTGAAAATTTCTAAAACATGAACATTTTGCTTCTGTAACCTTGTATGTTTTCAACATGGTTGTTCTTTTTGGTTTGAAGATTGTCCCCATTGGATATCTTTAACCTAAGAGATTTGCCTAAAGCATACTAGATGATTTCTGAAGCCTTCATTTTGCTCTCAAAAGTACAGGAAAGTTAAAAATGATAGAAAAGAGACATTTCTAAAAAGCAAATCTGATACTATCACTCCCTTATAGAATAATACTTGATGTGTCCCTGTCACTTTCAAAGTAGAGATCTCACTACCTTAGCATATAAAGTCATCTTTTTATATGCATCTTGACTTAGCATATAACGCTGTCTGTGATTTAGCCCCTAAATGCCTCCCTGACCTTCACTCAGACCTCAGGCAGTTTTTTGGAAGACCTGCAGCTCTTCCACACCTATCCTGCGTTCACCTGTCGGCCTGGCCCCTGCCTCCATACACCCATTGCGTTCTGTGGTTCCAAAGTAGGCCCTACTGAAGACTACAGCACTAGACTGGAATTGTTGACTCGTGTGTAGATTTTGTGTGTTTTCCCCTATTAGACTGTGGGCTCCTCAAAGACAGGGGCTCGTCCGATCTATTTTTATCTCCCAAGTGTCCAGCACAGGGCATGACACAAAGCTGGTGCCCGTTCAATCTGAAGTGCACACAAGAAGGAATGAACCACTGCTAAGCTGCAAGACAGGCATCAGAAGTAAGAGGTTTCACATCCACTGGTAATTCAAAATGAGGTAAAGCCACGATTCAATTTAGTTGGAACTTACAGGGTGATGTAGTAACCTTGCGTGTGCATAGAAGAAGGGTTTTATAGTTTACAGAGCGCGCTCCTATAGGATCTTCTATGATCCTGCCATCATGCTGAGAAAGAGATAAGGTATGGCACGTGTGCTTGTGTGTATATGTATTGTGTTTGTGTGTACATGTACACCTGCTGCTTTTCACCCCTAACAATCATGTCTTGACATGTTTAAAGATGCTGGAGATGGTTTCTGGGTGGGTCGGCTTCATTGCAAAGGGCAGGCTGTCTCTGTCTTACGGTTGCATTTCTTTGCATCGCTGGTCTGAAGAAGTTGTTAGTCTGCGTAGAGAGATTGCTGAGGAGGCCACAATATCCCCAAATTTAGAAAGGTGGATGAATCCAGGGACCTATGGCCCACTCACTTGTGTTAACAAACATTTCCAGTGCCGTGCGGCGACCAGTCCATAGCTTCATTGCACAATTGCAGGGTTTTGTATGAAGGTTTGCAGGGAGCATGCCAGAGCCTATTTCTAAACAGTCTGATGATTTATTTGATGCCTTCGGATATTTAAATAGTCTGCAGTGTACACCGAGTGTCTGAAATGTTTATTTTTTCCTTGCGTTAATGTGTGGGACCTCTCACTACGTCTTGTACACCCCAGGCACTCAATAAATATGATTTATGGAAGATGTAAATAAATCCAAACCAGGATGATGTCTGTGTTCATTAATTTGTAGCTCCAGAAGGCAGTCCCCTTCTCCAAACTTGAAAAAGAGAAAAATCCTCACCAAATCACAGAAGAAAAGAAAATGCAAAATGTATGACTCACCGGCCCAAGTAAAAAGTCCTGAAACTCCCTGGAGTGAAATAAGAAATTCATGACTATGTTCTCAGCTTTGTGACCTTGGGCCAATTATTTAACCTTGCCGCGTTGTCCCTTCTTAACTAAACACTGAACTGGAATGGTTAAACGATATGACAGTGCCACTGAGCTTCAGATAAATGAGGAAGAGAAGAAAACAGGACGGGCCAGGTGTGGTAACATATGCCTGTAATCCCAGCACTTTGTGAAGCCGAGGCAGGCAGATCACAGGGTCAGCAGATCAAGACCATCCTGGCCAACATGGTAAAACCCCCTTTCTACTAAAAATACAAAAATTAGCTGGGCATGGTGGCACATGTCTGTAATCCCAGTTATTTGGGAAGCTGAGGCAGGAGAATCACTTGAACTCGGGAAGCGGAGTTTGCAGTGAGCTGAGATGGAGCCATTGCACTCCAGCCTGGCAACACAGCGAGATTCCATCTCAAAAAAAAAAAAAAAAAAGAAAAAAAAGAAAAGAAAATAATAAGAAGAAGGAAAACACGACAGTGGAGCTAAATATTCTATCTACCACATTCTAGGCAGTTTTATTTAGGATTTCTGACTGTTTTCCTCCCAGCATCCCTGAAGAAGCTAATGGAATCATTAGGAACACCAATTTGGCAGTTAAGCTACCTGGGTTCAAACCCCAGCTCTGTTCTTTACTGGCTGTGTGACATTGGGTGATTTGCTTAACCTTTCTGTGCCTCGGTTCACTCATTTACAAAATGATGATGATAATCACAGTATTCCCTTGTGCGCTGGTTGTGAAGCTCAAATGAAGCCGTGTCTATAATGCATTTATGTAATGCTACTATGTGACAAGTACTGGGGCAAGTGTTATTCGTTACTAATTCTCACTTTTAGATGAGACACCTGAAGCTGACAGATTTAAACTTTGTGTTTCAGGCCACAGTGCTCATGACCTTGGGGAGGTGGGTAAACAACGGGGAAAGGGTGAGAGATCTGAGCCCAGTTCCGTCACTCCAAAGCCCTAGCTTCGGCCCTGAGCCCTGCGGTGTCTTTGCCAGTAAGATCACTCCATCCCACAGCCGCAGAAGCCGGGCTCTCGACCTGGCTGACCTCTGGGAATTGCCAATTTCTTTTTTTTGTTTTATTTTTTGAGACAGAATCTCGCTCTGTCATCAGGCTGTAATGCAGTGGCGCAATCTCAGCTCACCACAACCTCTGCCTCCCGGGTTCAAGCGATTCTTCTGCCTTAGCCTCCTAAGTAGCTGGGACTACAGGCATGTGTCACCATGCCCTGCTAATTTTTGTATTTTTAGTAGAGACGGGGTTTCACCATGTTGGCCAGGATGGTCTCAATGTCTTGACCTCGTGATCTGCCCACCTCGGCCTCCCAAAGTGCTGGGATTACAGGTGTGAGCCACCGTGTCAGCTGAATTGCCTATTTCTAAATGTGCTTAGGGCAGGAGTCCTGGTCAACTCTGGCCCTTCCCTAGTAGGTCCAGCCTCACTGGGCTGTCTCTTCACACTTGCCTCTTGTCCCCTGCGAGCAAAAGGGAAAAGAAAACTTAAGAGAAAGAAGAAAATCACCAACCAGAGTTGGAGGCAGCTGCTAAGACCCATTCTAGTTTGTGGGAGTTCTCTCCATGATTCCCTGCCCCAACAGCAGGTTCCAGCCAGCTGAGCTTACCCTTCATTGAAACTCATTAATGATCCTCCCTTCCTGCCTGGGACACATCACTGCCTCCCTTCCCCCTGGGGGTCCCTGCCTGCTTCCCCACTCTGTCTCACAGACTTTCTGTGGCTGACCCCTGACCTGCCTCTGGAAAGTCGAGCTGGACTGAAACACCCCCCTTCCTACCCATGCCATTTCTGTGGGACACCTCTGGAGAAGGTCCTTCCTGTCCCCACTGGTCTTTCTGAAGCTTAATTGAATTGAATACAAATATAAATTTCAAATGCACATTTCAGCTTGACTTAGCTCTTCTTCTTAGAAGAAGCCAGGTTAACAAGCTCTCTGCAGCCTGCCTGGCCACAGTACCAGGAAGTAAGTGCTGTTAAGTCAAATAGGAAGTTCGTAAAAGAATGATTTGGAGAGACAGCCTTCATTAAAAATCATATAGGATTATACAATGTGCATTCCTTTGCTTCTGGCTCCTGGTGCGCTGCAGGGTCTGGACACTAGGACCCCCAAAATATGATTTCTTTCTATTTCATTCTATGTATGTTCTTTAAACACACACACACACACACACATACACACACACACACACACTCACACACACACCCACATTCTATTGACGTATAACCTAACTGACTGCCAAATTTGCCCTGCATGGAAAATCACCACGGATCCTTTCTCCTTACCTGGGACACATCACTGTACTCCTATCAAGTGCACTAATCTTGGTGCTCAGCTTAACCAGACCCAGCTTCATGGGTATGGGCTCTGTATAGTAACGCAGGGACCCACACTTAGAAGGACCCACTCTTCATTTAATGCTTTGCTGTTGCTGTCCTGAAAGTCTTAAGAATTTTTTTTTTTTTTTTTTTTGAGACGGAGTCTCGCTCTTGTTACCCAGGCTGGAGTGCAATGGCGAGATCTCGGCTCACCGCAACCTCCGCCTCCTGGGTTCAGGCAATTCTCCTGCCTCAACCTCCTGAGTAGCTGGGATTACAGGCACGTGCCACCATGCCCAGCTAATTTTTTGTATTTTTAGTAGAGACGGGGTTTCACCATGTTGACCAGGATGGTCTCGATCTCTTGACCTCGTGATCCACCCGCCTCGGCCTCCCATTTTTTTTTATTTTTTATTTTTTGAGATGGAGTTTCGCTCTTGTTACCCAGGCTGGAGTGCAATGGCGCAATCTCGACTCACCGCAACCTCCGCCTCCTGGGTTCAGGCAATTCTCTGAGCAGCTGAATTTTTAATCTCTGTTTTTTTTTTTTTTTTTGAGACAGAGTCTTAGTCACCCAGGCTGGAGTGCAATGGGGAGATCTCAGCTCACTGCAACCTCTGCCTCCTGGGTTCAGGCAATTCTCCTGCCTCAGCCTCCTGAGTAGCTGAGATTACAGGCATGCACCACCATGCCCAGCTAATGTTTTGTATTTTTAGTAGAGACGGGGTTTCACCTTGTTGACCAGGATGGTCTCGATCTCTTGACCTCATGATCCACCCGCCTCGGCCTCCCAAAGTGCTGGGATTACAGGCTTGAGCCACCGCACCCAGCCCTCTTAAGAATTTTTTAACAAGACACCCCTCCTTTTCATTTTGCATTGAGTCTTGCAAATTAATCAGCCAAGACTAAGATCGATGAATTCTTCCATGTCTACACCCATATAACCACCTTCTTGATCAATATACAGAGCATTTCCACCTCCCAGAAGGCTCCCTTGGGCACAATCTCAGTCAGCGCCCCTAGAGGTGGCGCTGTTCTGACTTCTGTCACCCTCCCTGGCCTTGCACTGCACACATATAGGATTATACAATGTGCATTCCTTCGCTTCTGGCTCCTGGTGCGCTGCAGGGTCTGGACACTAGGACCATGTTTTTGCTCGACTCAGCAGCCCTTCTTTACCAATGAACTATTGCCCTGCAATAGTTCATTGCATGACTGCACCTCAGTGTGTTTTCTAGTCACCTGTTGACAGACACTTGGGCTGCCTTATGTTCTCAGCTTTAGGAATAAAGCTGTGATGAGCATTCTTGTTTGTGTCTTTGGTGAACAGATGAACTTATTTCTTTTGAGCGTGTGCCCCATCTCATGTTAGTCTTACATTTAGTGATAGTCTTACCTGTGTGTGTTTCGTGCAAATTAGGAATAATTCATTCAGACAGTGAGGTCCCTCACGGGAAAGTATGCTCCTAAGAAACCTCTCAGGTGTGTTTCCGCATGCGCCGAGATCACCAGATCCAGGTGAGATGGTGGCATCCAGCATCAGATAGGTTTCATGTGTGGTGACATCACCAGACCCAGGAGAGATGTGGGGATCTGGCGTTAGATTGTCTCTTTTTTTATTCTCATCATTATGCATAAAGATTCCCATGTCTTAAAAAATGTAACTCAGTATCAAATTTTAATAGAATTTTCTACCTTTTTGCCCACATAGCAAAACCATGGACATCAAATTGATATAAATGCCTCCTGGGGTCTTGGGTAATCATGTTGGCACAACCTGTGGGCGCCTTCCCAGGGCCGCTGACAGGGTCTGTAAGATCGTTTTGGCCTGTTGTCACGTTCTCTTTCGTTTGTCCAACTGACTTTTTACCGAACTCTCCCCAGCAAAGTCCCCTGTGGTCTCCGGGCTGCTTCTGACAGGCAGAGAGAGTGGGATTCAGATTAACCCACCCCTGACGCCAGAGTCCGAGGTCCTGTGGGGTCGGATTAGCAAAGGCATACAGGCCTCACCTGGAAGGGACTCAAGGCTGAGTCCCCAGGTGATGCAGCAGCGCAGATCTTCTGGGCCAACAAGCCAAAGAGATAATGTAGGCCAGAGCCAGGACCACCATCTCCTGCTGAGATGGGAAATGAAGACTGCAGCTCCCATCCTTGTGCTGACTCTCTTCAGGCTATTCCTGACTCATCCACCTAGCACTTTGGGGAGCACCTGCTGTGCACCAGGCCAGCTGCCAGCGGCCCAGAGCAGGGGGTGAGCTGGGAAGTGAAGCACAAAAAGACACTATGGACTTTAAAGTCAGCAGCTCCTGCCTGTGAATCCCAGCTTAGAGAACTGTAGGGCAGGTGACCTTGGGCGAGTTACTCCTTCCAGGCAGTAAAGGGTAGTAGAGAATAGTGCTAGCTTTGAAGACAGACTTAGTTATCCTCAGCCTGACTTCACTGTGCAGGCTGGTTGTTTCATGAGACTGTTCCTCAGTTTACCCATCCATCAAATGAGACTAGTAATAGTACTGCCCTCACGCCATTGCTGTAAGGACTCAGGAAGCTTCTATTAAGAAACATTGTCTGGCATGTAGTAAATGTTTGATAAATATTACTTATCATATTTGTTATTATGAGCCTAGCACGGTGACTCACACCTGTAATCACAGCACTTTGGGAGTCCAAGGCTGGTAGATCACTTGAGGTCAGGAGTTCAAGACCAGCCTGGCCAACATGGTGAAACTGTCTCTACAAAAATACAAAAATTAGCTGGGCATGGTGGTTCATGCCTGTAATCCCAGCTACTCGGAAGCCTGAGGCATAAGAATCACTTGAACCCAGGAGGCAG